CATTTATGGTTTGATTTCTTTGTATGTATGGATCACTTGGGTTGTTACCAACATCTGGTGAAAATTTCATGTCATTAGCACCTCTAGTAATYTATTTACTGAGAAAAATGGTGACGTGTTCAATACTTATTTTACCCAGTGTATATATCCTGTTTAGAATTATCATCTCAATAAACATGTGCAATGTCCCATTGCAGGTTCTGCCATGTAGGAGGCAAATTAAATCATTGTGTTATTTAGGGACTAAACCACTAAAACAGGATGGGCAACTTAAATGATGGAGGGGGCCATAATTTTTTAATGACACTACCAGAGGCCACATAGTGCTGCACACCCACCCAAATGTAATATTAGAACATTATATATGTAATATATATAAATGTACAGTACACATGTTTATTAAATCAACATACAGTGCAGCAATTGAACATATTTTTTGCTCAAATGCACCTATAATTGTTGTACTCTAGTCTACTAAATATGAATATGAAAAGTTTGAAGTAAACAATAAAGTAAACACTTTAGTGACAGTGGTTAGTTCCACAGATGCACTAATCTGCTAATAGCGGAACAGGCTTCTCATTTAGGGGATTCGATTTTTTGCTAACTTTGGAAACCGTTAGCGGCTGGGTACATTCTGCTAAATTAGGTTCCGCTAATCTAAAAAAAGTCAAGTTTAAAGCTTCTATTTTTAGGCCATTTATCCCAAATGAAATAAAAACTACAGTATATCCTCTTACAAGCAGTGCTGGACGTGTCACTCACCGTGTGTGTAGCTTGCAGCATCTTTAGCAACTAAAACCCTAACTAAGAGCGTCAAATAGAAATAAAATAATATTTAATATTTAAATAACAATTACYAAAATTGATTTTTGCATAAAGTATGAGAGAAATTATTTTCTGTTTGATGTTTGATCAACTTCAAACTATATGTATAAAAATACGCATTTAATCAAAGAACGCTTTTATTCTGTTGGGGTAAACTAGATGTATGACAAGTGACACTGTGGTTTGGATTGGCTGATTTGCCACAGATGATCCCGCCCACCTTCAAATTAAACCAATGGAAAACTAACAACTGATAACTGGAAGGAGATYAAGCCTGACTGTTGTCTTAGCAGTTAGTGTTGGCTTCCACTAATGTTTTTAGTTATTTAGTGGTTTAGTGTTAGCAGAGCTTGTGGATTATTGGTTAGTGAACCTTTTTGGTTAGCTGTGCCCAGCACTGTTAAGCAAACTAAAGTGCAACAGCCCAAGATGTCTTGAGTTACTTCCAGGTGGTTCTGGTAAAAAGTCTCTATTGTTTATGTACTTGCAACTTTAGTAAACTTCTCATATTTAGCTTTGTTCAACGTGCTGTAGTGACGATTTATATTAAAATCTAGATGGCAGACAGCATCCCAAAGCAGATTAAACACACAGGTTTGCCTTGAAATTCTGTGAACAGATAGTCTACCTCCCATTTCACTTGGCACGTGTTTTTATGTCAGTTTTCTCTCTCCTCTGTTCTTAGCCACGGCTAATTGTCTGGCATTTGCATCGGAGGGGCCATCTAGTGGCAAACTTTGTCATTACAACCAATTCAGTGCCACTAAAACACTTTTATACATTTTTGCAGTTTTCAAAAAT